CATAAACTTGGTAATTTCTATAGAATCTACGTGGCTGATGACAGGTGGACGAAATAAACGATGATGACACCAAACGCAATTCAGGAATAGACATAGAGGGCCACTGGGGTGATATGCACACCCCACTGTCCAAAGACAACATATTTTCATTGCAATGTTTCTTTTCAAAAGGCATACATACATAGAAAGATATTTATATAACTTGTCATTAAACCACCACACCATATCAACGAACTACGAGGCTACAATGATTAACAGGGTATATGAATGTAATACAGTCTCTTCAATGAAAGCCTTAAATATAGGGTAGTTTCCATAATAGCTGTCTATATGTGTCTCCATATATATTCATTTTATTTTTTATTATATTTAATTCCATACTGTTCCCAGTGGAACATAACGAGGGCTCCAAGCTGGAGTCTTGGGGTTTCGGTAGCAGTGGTGTTAATTTCCTTTGAGATTGGTGGGGTTGCTGCTGGCCTCATGACCAAACTTGCCTCTTTACCAGTCTTATTACTGGCTTATCGAGGTGAAGGAGTGCATCGGGCGAGGATTGAACTCCGGACGACAAGGGTGGTGGCAACGACGCACATTCATTTTATAATATTACTAATTTTGTGAAAGTGGCCGTCTTAATGGGACACAGTTGAATACTGATCATGTCATCATATTGTAACGGTAGAAGATGGAAAGACTTGGTAGGGGAATGTGTATTTGGAAATTGGTATCTCTACATATAGCCAAATTATGTACACCGCTTATCGTCAACGCACCATTTGCACAGATCTTTCGTGTTGTGCCTGCCTGCTTTTTGTGGCCTTCCTGAATATTGAGTTTCTTTGTGGGTTCCTTGCACTTCTATCCCATGTAACTTTCCATAACACTGCATCATTTACTTTCTGTGATATCAGATGTATATATCTCCTGCTATTTGATGATTTTATGCCGGCTGATGAATGTCTCTTCATTGTATACTACTGATAAATCGTACTAGTAGTACTCACTACAATAAACACGTATAAATGTTTATTCATGGATAAGAGATAACTTTACCATTTTATTGCCTTCACATAGTGAATTCCCGTCATTTCTCCCATCAGCTTAAGAAATCACACACATTTCTAAAACACACTGCTGTATAATTTAGTTGACTGACTTAGAAATGCTGATGTCTACAGGGACTGTTGAGTCAGCATTGCTGAGCTAAAATTGGAACTTCTTTCCATTGTATGTATTTGCACATGAGAGCATTTTGAGGGTAGGTGTGTGTGTGTGTAAGTGAGTGTGTGTAGAAGTCTAAGAGAATGCTCAGCGCTATATCAACCTTCATCCTCGAAAATCAGTAGTCATTAATATAATGGAAATTTGAGCAGCGAAGAATTTCGTTTTCGATAATTTACTCCTCTTCTACCTCAACAGTTAAATGTATACAAAGAATATTTTATTCTGGAGTCGTCGTCATTAACAATATTAGTGTCATCTTAAATAGTCATGAAAAGAGATTGGGAGAAGTTTGATTTCACACCCATTGAAGCAAGATTCCCACGTGTTCTATGGTAACCTTGAAGTTCCTTGCAGTGAGTGCTTATGCTTAGTGTACAGATTCGATCAAGTGTTTTCCTGAATACAGCTGAGACGGCATGTGGTATATATGGATCCTGTTTTCTGCTTTATAAAACGAGGTGATTGTGAGTGAGAGGTACAATGTTACATGTTTGGATAGCAAAAGGTTGGGTACGGCGGTTACACTAAGCTGCACAGGTGAAGCAGGTGATTTCGTAGATGCACATTGATGAGGCCACTCACTCAACGGTGGTAGTTTATCTTCCACATTCACCGCAAATCATCTTTGGAAATATTCCATATATATATATATATATATGCATATATGATCATAAATTACTCTCCAACTCAAGTTTGAGACATGCTTTATAATTCTCAGTTGAAAGATACTCAAACGATACATGAGTTGAACTCCATTTAAATAGTGAAATACGGGGAATTGGGGTGGGGGACGGGGGCGGGGGCGGGGAAACTGACGATGAATGTAATGATAATGATACAAAAACTCAGACATGCTTTTAATATCTGAGAAGTAGTGATTTTTATTTAGGTATTAGTAGGAGTGTAGCCGTAGGAGTAGTGGTAGTGAGCATTGGTGAATCGATCCGTAAATACAAATGTCTGTGTCTGTACTTGTCTGTGTGTGTTTGTTTGGCTGAAAACATGCGCATGTATTCCTTCCCTACTCTAAACACTTACAAATGAATGCATGGAATATGAATACAACTCATTCATCTGTATGTAATAGGCGGATATTTCAGTTTCGCTGTTTTTTGCTGCCTCTATGAGAAAGAATGAAAATATCCTTTTAGAAATGGATTATAACGACTGGGAAGAAATAAAAGAGGCTACCACATTATACTACTGATCATCACTGACTGATTCAGTAGTATCGTCATCCTCTGATGCAATTCTGCGTTAATTCTGTTTGCAAGAGGTATTTGGAAATGGCGACATTCTTGTCGATAGGCACACACACACACACTTGTAGTTGAGAGAACAGGCCAGTTTTGTCGATGGATTCATCTAGATTTCTGGTGAATATTGAGAAGGCGGAGATGAAGGTGAGGAAGACAACGAACGAACATCAACAATAACAAACAACAACAACCGGCATCTATCACCATCAGTCAGAGAGATTTAATAGAGGTTACTTCCCGCCTTTAGTTATCTAGCCTCAGCAGCCAGCTTCGTTTCCACTACAGACAGATGACATGGGTGAAGATGTCAAAGCTGCCCAGAATAGGAAAGGAAGGCAAGATACGCCTTCATCAACCTGAACCCAGTTTCGAAACCTTCTGCAATAACTCAGCGGCATAAACGACAAGACAGGGATTTTCAACACCAATGTCAAGCGGGTCTTTTTGCATACTGGTGGGAATCTTGAACTGGGCATGCTTGACAAAAAGGATTTCCAGCAGGTTGCAGACTTTCATCTACAGCTGCCTTTGCTCCATACTGAAGATCCAATTGACCAGTGAGCCAGCCTGCTGGCCACAATGCAACCCTGAGCAGACTACTTCACAAATATATAGGAGTAAAATGGAGATTGATCGGGTATACGTTGAGGAAACTGTCGAATGACATCGCGCAAAATGCAGACCATTGCTCGAGTAGAATAGAAATGGGAAGCGACAAGTGGATCATCCTAGAGTGACATGGAGGAGATCGTGTGAGAAATAGATTCTGCCAGCCGGTATCAAGTACAGTCGGCAGCAAGAGATACAATTATATCATTCATGGAGGATTTAAATGAGTTCAATTTATTCTAAAACTTGCGCTAAAGGAAGATGTTGTCCAGTTGAGGGATGACGAAAATTTCACGATTGAAACATCAAGGAGGTCAGGGAACACAAGGAATTCAATGATCTGAAAAGTGCTGGTTTTTCCATAGGAGGAAACTGCCTCCTTCGGAACTGTGTAAACTGTTATTTGTAAACTGTCACTCTGGCATAAGTGAAACACAAGTTCGCTTTTCACTATGGAAAACAAGTCGAACTCCCTATTCCAACTCTGAGATGTGATGTTAGATAGAGAAAAGGATGGGACGTTGAAAAAGTCGATCTACCGAAAGCCAAATTATACACTTGTCAGTACACTCACTTCAACAGTTGGGTTGGGTACTTCTAAGCAGGAAGAAGAGTCTTGTCCGTCCTCTATGCTGAATAGATATGGTCGACATCAAGTTAGAAAGCCTTAGCACAACTCTCTTCAATAATCGATGTCCTAGAATGTTTATCAGCAGAAACATCACGAAATGAGGAACTATCCCCAATCTACGAAATCACAGTGCCAACGAAGGCACACTGTTTTCAACCGTTGCTTTCGAATGTGACAATAGTTCTGAAGTAATTTTAAAAAAAATTATCTAAATGTATTAAACGGTGTTTTTATGCAGCTGACTTACTTACAATGGGTATTCACCAGACGAAATATGATTCGACGGTGCGTCGGGGATAAACTACCACTTCTTATGTGCGTCCAACTTTATGTGCATATACTCATTTACATTCTCGGCTGGAGCTGATTACAGCATTGGACGTCGTACGCGTATTCTCCATGAACGCGTATCTGAACACTATCTTGTTTGGTAAATGAATGAAAGGTGAGCAAGAGAAAGACAACGTCTTCGATCTGTGAACACCCTCTGGAGTCAAGTCATTTCAACCCACTCTCCAAGACGTGAATAATCCTTCAAAGTTATTTACACAACCAAATCCAACTACTCCAAAAGCTTATGGTTTCACCACTAATGCATAGCTGAAGCTCCAGCTCTACAAGTGGAAAACCCAAAATTATGTATTCAAAAAGGGTTTGTTCAACCCCTTTCTTTACCTTGATCATATTATAGTTCCTTTGTTTTGTTCTATTCTACCACTTGAATTCATTTCAATTCACTTCATCTTCCCGTCTTTCATTTATCCTGCTTCTAATTTTCTCTTACAACACACCTGACTTCAAATGTTAGAAGCATCTTTATACCAGTTCGCTCATTGAATAATCTCTGATATAAGTGTGGTAATTCATTCACTTTCCATCAACTCTAATATGCCCCTCCTGCTTAGTACATCATTTTAATTATCTTTAATCTTATCATGAAATATACAATATTGAAGAGTGAGCAATTTCTAGTGCCGGTTATTATTAATGCCTGCTTCTTTCCGTAACATAAATACGGCTGGTGTAGAACAATTGGTTGACTGAAAATGGAAGTCATTGAACAGAAATAGTACTTCTCTACGATGAGCAAAACAGAAGAACAAAACTGTGTTTTTTCCTGACAAGTCTGTTTCCCTAACTCAGAAAAATCGGAAGTTGTAGTTTTTGCACAGATGGTAAATTTCATGATGTCTGTATTGTAAAATGTGTTGTTGTTGTCCAGATTGCTGTATCTGTGTGCCCTCCTTTTGTTTTTTTGTTTTTCATTTCAACCGTAGGTGATCCTGATGAAACAGACAATCCATCTGAGGTTTATTCGATAACTACTGCTCTGTGTGGTTCTGTGTATACAGTGAATTTTGTGGACTCTTCAGCAGATAACTTTGAGAAAAATTTGGTGAGTATTCTTCAACTTCAATTTATTTATTCATTTTGTTTGCTGTTGTTATTGTTGTCACTGTCGTTATTGTTCTTCCTTGGCTTAAAAAACTTCGTATGAAATGTCTTTGAAGAGAAGTAATCCCCACTGGTAATGTTCAGTGCTAACTGACGGACTAAAATCCCTCAGGAGATATTTGATCTCCAGTGATAATATCGACTAACTAAATAACATACAACAGATAGCATGCATTCAGGTCTGACTAGAGATTGATATCATTTAGAGAGCCATTGAAAAAACTAATGGGGGCGGGTTCTGATCAACTCACTGGTCCTGGTTGTGAACCCTTCAGCGATCACCATACTTCAGATATAGGACCGTAATATCTTTTTTTACTATTCGGGTTCCTTCAGGTTCCGGGTGAAACATGCGCCTTCAATAACACAACTTCACTTTGCTCCATTTTATGCTCTCCTCTTCAGCTGGCTGCTTTCATGACTCCCCCCATAATCTCTCATCTACTCCTCTCTCACCCCAACATGATCTCCTCCATGTTAGTCACACCAACAGCGAACACCTATTCTCTCTAGTCGCTTCCCACCTCAATTCCACTCAAGTGATAACATGTACAATCAAGCCATCTTCATTCTCTACTACATATATGTGTAAAGCAATCGGCGCTTGGTTGGAGTTTGTTCTCATCCAAAGTTTCTTGTTCCTGATTCTCTCTGCCCATTTCATCTACAGTATGGAGCCATCCAGACAGAGGATTATACAGGTGTTGATAAACGTCTGCCGCAATCTAGTGGAAATCCTTTTCGTGACGCGCACGCGCAGCGCAGTTTTCTGACCCATACCAAATGAACTGACTGACTGACTGACTTCGCTGATACTTGTGTTGTATAGAATCCGAATCTTATTGTTCATGCTGAGGCGGAGTGCACTGCAGACTGAATATCTCCAGACTGATTTCAGATTGATAAATGAGTATCTTACTTGTATTTTCCATTCTGAAAGATGATTGTCGGGGTCTGACACATTTGTGTGTTCCGACTGCCTGTGGTTGGGTGATGGATGCTGCCTGACTAGGTTAGATAACTCAATACAGGAATTATTCTGTAAAAAAATCTTTCTGCCGTTTATTCTGAAGGCTGTAGCGACTCTTTAAGGAGTCGCATTACCGAACAAATTGTGAATACTCTTCATCTAATCTCAACAAACACTGTCTTCGAAGTAATCTGCAAAATGAAAGACAGTCTGAATAAAAGTAATAATCTTCCCTTCCCACTCGTTTGAATTACTGAAGCTCTTCAATGTCACCCAGTAGGAAAGCGCGGGTTCCAAAAAGGATAAAACGTGAGTCTTCGGGCTGGAAACCTCACATTATAAAATGAAATATTACCGCGAGTGCGCTAGCAAAGCTCAAGCTTGAAGCTACTTGTCTCGAATGCGAAGCATAGGATGGCTGATAATCCTCACTCTCTAAGTCAGCATTCAGATGCTTGTATTGAGAAAACCCTATCATCATTTGACATTATCATCGTCTATCTGTAAGAATGACAAACATTGTTCCTAGCATATTTAAACTTCAAAGGTCAATGAACACGTCATGATTTGAAGAATATTTAGTGTTTGACAAACACATGTGGTATTTTGGCGTGTTTGTGTATAGCCTAACAGTTTCAGTATTCAAACCTTGGGATCTATCTACACGATGTTTCTGATATTTCTAGTTTTACTTCATCACTCGATCTTCGTTCCTGACAAAGTCTTCCTTGAACATTTGGCGACTCACTCGGCTTCTTCTTAGTCTGAAGACTTCACGAGACAATAAATTTTGAGCTAACCTATATTTGATTAGAATTACTGCTAACAGGTAGATAACTACCAGTTGACATTGATCCTCTAACAAAGGCCAAATCTTGAGGAGTTCACAGAAGCAGTTGAAAGCCGAGGTGGAGGAGGAAGCAGGACAGAACAAGATTCCTCTTGATGCACTGAATACGGACACAGAGACTTTAAAGGATATGCCGACTGCATTAATGAATAAAGTTTGGAAGAATGGAAGGAAGGAAAGGTACCATTTGGCTAGCTAGCCTTTCAAACCACCAAGGAAGAAGGGCAGCTTACGCATCTGCAGGTCCTGTTGCTGAAACATCATCTTGTTCATATCAAGAAAAATACCAAGCCACGTCATACTGGAGAGAGAGAGTGAGTGCAGAACTCCACTTACAACAAAATAGGCAAAGCAAATCATACACCCATCAAATTGTAGCTCTACGAATCATCAACACCATCGCCATCAGCACTCAAAATGGCATACAATCAATGGCAGTCAAATCTCTCTCTCTATCTACCTCAAATTCACAGACTTTGATAACAACTTCGCCAGCTTTAATCGCGAAGTCATTTAGTATCTACGTCAATATCATTCAAATGCTATATGACGATGATGGCATAAACCAATCAATCCACAATAGGAAAATCGAAGAACTCTTTGAAGTGAACACAGGGGTGAGACGAGACTGTCTACTATCACAAACGATGCGATTCTTACCTGTGGTGGACTGCACTATGCAGAATACCGTGACATAGGTGGTAAGATGAGATAAATTCGTTCATTAGAAGCATAAGATGACTCTAAGCTCTAGAATTCACTGAGGATTTATATCTGGCATCACATTTGAAGGATGATACACCAAAACCGACAAGCTGTCAGAAGTGGTAGACAGCAAAGACACGAATTCAAGAATGAACCTAGTGAAGAAACACGCTTAGTAACAAAAGGGAACAACCAATCAACTAACAATGGATAAACAATTTGAATACGTCACCTCCTTCACTTATCTGGACAGTCAGCATCGTTTCAACCGTGCAGACATGTGGAACGAATGAAGATGTGAAGACCAACCAGCCGGAGTCAGAAAGAAACGGCGGACCTTCATTCCTCTGAAATTAATGTGGAAATCTCCTGTTTCACTCCGCCACAGCATAAACAGTAAAATATGGATTTTCAACACCTATTTTAAGTTGATCGGTTCTTGTATATGCTTTGGATACTTGATGCGTAAGCGTCACAGAAAGCATTTCCAACAGCCAACTACAAACTGCTATTAAAAGCAGCTGCCCCCTTCACTGCCTAGCTGGCTGGCTCCTCCAGATCAGATGGGCGATTGTAAGGAATAGCCGATAAGAAACTCCAAAAGTTAACAAATCAATAAAGATGCGATTGCTTAATTACAACATTGGGAGAAAATGCAGATTGACGAAACACAGGTTGAGGATACCATCGCATGATTCATGCAACTATCTGGCCATCGAGTGGCAACTGAATGGGAAATGACGAGTCGCTAGTTGGTTGGAGCGTGTTATAGAGGAGATCGTATTAAGAAGGCATGAGGCCACACCTAGATGTGACTGCAGAAAACTGGATTCAATGGAGTTGTGGTGTTGAAGCCATGTATATTTCAATCGGACCCTCCGAGTATGATACTAGTAATATCAATAATGATAAGCGAAATTTTTGTCTCCGTCAATCGGAAATCGAGGAGCAATTTCGTCTGAACCCCTACCGAACACAAACAGTCAGATCATTTCATTTGATTATTACATTCATAAAAAAAGATCACCGTAGTGTACAATCTGCTCGTCATATACCCCTTGTGTCCTGGAACACTTAAATCGATCTCTAATGTCATCAAGTATCTTTTATTATTATTTATTGAATTCCATTGTAGCATTGAGAACACAAAATATTCAGCGAATAGGCTCTTTTCAACAACGAATTTATTAATGAAAACCAAAAAACACGTAGTTCACCGAAGAGTTTCCTTTCGGTGGTGAATTCATTTTCTTAACTGTACAATAGCGAATATATGTGTTGTTTCTTAAGTATGTGTACATTAAGTTTGTCAAACAAAAATACAATGCCGATGATCCCCAAAAACTAGGATAAAACAGCAGCTGTCCAGTACTCCAGTGCTGGTTTTCAATGTTTCTCTAACTCAAATCAATCCGTGATCAACTCGTAGAAACATAACTAACCCTTACAAACCAAACTATAGAAAATGAATCTGATGCTCGCAATTATTATTATCAATATTACTACTACTCTAATTATGATTACTATCAGTGTGTGTGTGAGTTGAGTAGTAAACACATCTAATGAAGTGTAATGCGACCTTACTTCCTGCCTGCGTGTTTCAGGTCATTATATCATGATAGTGACTAAGTAATTATCCACTCTGCCTTATATCTATCGCGATCCAGCCATCCATGCATGGATGGATCGATTCATCCTGCAACTCCATCGTCTGCCTTATATTATAAGAAAAAGAGACTGAGAGCGGTCATAGACCTTGATATATCTATATTCCCTATATGTCTCCCTCCCTCTCTCCCTCTCTCACTCACTCACTCACTCACTCACTCTCTGATTGACCTGATTCCCCTTAATTAGCATCTCACTACTGCCTTATTATTATTCTCACTATTATTATTATAACTATAATTATAATTACTAATAAATAACAAACAAAATATCAGTAAGTGATAACACCCTTTATTTCAAAGTTCTTCTCCCTTCTTTGTGTTGTAAAAATAATTCAAAACACTGATGAATATGTCAGAATATACATCTATTCAATACTTCATCATCAAGCAAAAAGAGACGTCATGTGCTTTGTTTGCTCTGCGATGTGTCTCTGTGTCCGTGTGTGTGTGTGTTTCTAGTTCACTGACTTCCTCTATAGATAGAATTATTCCCCGCTGAACATAAACAAACAAACAAACAGGTAAACAGGTAGACAAGCAGACAACACATGAAGAAGACGAAGATAAAGTAGGAGAAACTCTGACTCCCTCCTTCTTCTACTCTTCCTGTCAATATTTTAATTACTTTCTTGATGATGATGATGATAGCTTAAACAAACAGTCGTAGTGTCATATTCTAATATCTATTTACTCTATCGATAAAACCTGTTCCCCCTCATTGATCCAGTGTAGAAATCGGTGTATAT